AACCAACATATAATAGTGTATATCATGCAAAAGGTACAAATAGATGTGGATCAAATTTTGCATATCTTTATTTTTGTTCATTTGTTTTTCTATCATCATTTTTGGTAAGTAAGAAAAAGTAAAAGGAACAACAAAAAAAAACGAAGATTTTTGTTTTTTTTTTGAATATGAATTTAATTAGATGTTGAATTTATTCGTTGCTGTTATTATGGATAATTTTGATTATTTAACACGAGATTCATCTATATTAGGTGCACATCATCTTGATGAATTTATTCGAGCTTGGTCTGAATATGATCCTGATGGAACGTATGTGTTTTGTTTTTCTTTTTTGATTTTCGTTTTTTAATAAAATTTAAAATAGTGGAAAATTGGAATATACAAAAATGTTTGAAATGCTGAGACTTATGTCACCACCTGTTGGATTTGGAACTAAATGTCCATCGAAATTAGCATACAAAGTATGTATAGAATGATTTATTTGTTCTTTTAAGAATAATCTTTTAAATGTATGTATGCGGAAGTAGTAGAGATCTTCATAAGGTGAAAAATGAAAGACAGGTTAATGGTTTTTTTTTTTAGTAATTGGCGATAGAAATAAGATATAGACCTACGAATTTCACTATTTAAAATAGAACATCGTGAGTGATAAAATCAGCTTAAATTTTGGGACTATTTGATTAAAAAAATTGTTATGTTTCAGTTCACGCTAAGTCAATATTTCTAACTTGTTCTGTTCATGAGCAGCAGCTATGAGAGTTTTCTAAAAATTCCAATTTCAGTTTAATGACTTTTTGAGAGCTTCGAAAGAAGTCAACATAAGATTTAGTTCATCACGCTAAATTTAGTGGCGATATTTATTTTCAGCTATAAATTATCTAGAACTATTATATCAATAGTATATATACAAATTGTAAGATATTTAAAGTTTTAAGCAATCAAAAGAGAAGACTTCGTAATATAATTCAATATTAATATCAAAGCAAACTCATAAAGAGCATATTCTTAATATTGCTTCTTATTCTTTTCTGTACGGTAGAGCTTTCCGAAATGTTTCTTTTACTTATTAAAAAATCGCAGATTGTAAATTGCTACTTTTTCTAAGATATTCATTGAAAACCTAATTATTTAGCGTTTAATTCGTATGAATATGCCAATTGATGATAAACGTCAAGTACATTTTACTACAACACTTTTTGCGCTTATTCGTGAATCTCTTGGTATTAAAATACGTAGTGGTAAGTTCTTTTGTTTTCTTTGATAATTTTTTGATTAAATATCAAAGAAAATTTAATTTAGTTGCTGACGAAATGGATGAAGCCGATAATGAATTACGTCAAGTTATATGTAAATTATGGCCTACTCTTGCAAAAAAATCTATTAAATTACATGAAGGTGGAACAAAACCATTACTTGATCTTGTTGTACCATCTAAACATGGTAAATATATCAAAAATTCATTCCATCATTTAAAAAGTATATATTTAGAATTACATGGTACACCTGGACATCCGAAATTAACTGTTGGAAAAGTTTATGCTATTTGTTTATATATTGATAATTATCGTTCATATAAACAAGGTCATCCTAATGATACTGTAAGTTTAAATATTGAATTTTATCATGTACTAGAAAAATATATGCTGATAATTATTGATATCAATATATAAGACAGATCATATGATCTTCGATATTCTCTTTTGAATAATGAAAACCGTAGGCCTTTATCTTGTTCTAATAGGAAGTTATTCGAAAAAAAAAATGATCTGTCTTATATTTATACGTTAATAATACTACAATTTTTTTCTAATAATTTTATATATTAATAGAGTTTCCATTTAAATCGACTTGTTACAGTACTTAAAGAACGTGCACATTCAAAAGAAGCTATTTATGAACTTGATCATGATGGACGACGACCATCATGTCGTCTTCCGGAAAATTCGCAACGTTCGGGATCAAATCGATCATCGGTAATGAATTTATTTTACTTAGGAAAAACTAATTACAGGAATGTTAAGATTAGAAAAATGCTTGTGTTTTTCTTCTATAAGATTTTTGAAACAAGATATTTTCATTGATACACAGATAAAACAATGTCACGGATCAGTTTTTTTTTCGTAATCTTTCTCGTATGAAAAATAATCATGAATAATAAACTAACATTTCTCTTTTATTTTCTTTCAAAAAAAAATATGCTTTAGGAGAAGCAGAATACTAGAGACATCGTCAAAACATGTATTTTTTTTCTATCTAAAAATCTACTATTGATAAATGACTTGCAGCAAACTAATTATTAGTATATCATTTTCCATAGAAATATTTGCTCTATCATTCGCTGTGTTTGAAATAATCTTTTCTTTTACTTTCGCCTAAATTTTAATATTCGAGTTCAATTTACGAGCCTCTCAAATATCAACTCATCATTTCTATACCAGAAATCCTACAGAAATTTAGAACTCATATTCAGAAAGAACATAAAACTCTTTTGAGATACTGAAAAATAAATGAATATTTTTTCAAATCATTTTTGTTTTTGATTGTCCGTCAATAAAGTCCGACTGGACTCTGCCTGTCGGTACATTGAAAAATCCTAAGTGTTAACTGCATTTTTTTTCAGCAAAATCTTGAAAATACTTTTTCCGGTAAAAGTAAATTGTCAATAAGTGGTGAATCAGGTGTTAATCTTGAAAATGGACATATCAATCCACCAGTTAATAAAGTTCCAAATTTAATTAATCTTGATGAAACACGACGAGCTAGTCAACAACCTTCAGATGGTTTTATCACTCAAAGTCAATATGGTAAAACATTAAGTGTACCAAATGCCAATGTTCTTCATGCATTGCCAGTCACAACACCAGCAGCACCAAAAGGTCCACCTCGACCTGCAATAATGACAACACCAAAATCATCAACAATAGTTTCAAAAAATTCTTCAACTAATTTATCATCAATAGAAACACGACCATTATTAGTTGTAACAACAACAATAAATGATCAACAAAAACCACAAACAATAACTGTACCTAATGGTCGTCGTTTGCCATTAAATGGACGTATGGCAACAGTCGCTTCATTAAAACAACGTCAACAACCACGAATGCCAATAATTAACACTAATCATCAAATAATCAATGAAACAACATCAAAAAAAAATATTAACAATCGACCACGAACAGCATTATTATTTAATGCAACACGTATGAGAAACAAAACAAAAAAAAAATATCTAAAATTTTATTTTATTTATTTATTTCAATTATCTATTTTCAAACATCTAGATCAATCATCTGAACAACATCAACCATTATTAAATAATGAAAATGATATAACAAATCGACATGATTCAATTGATAATGAAAGTACTAATTGGTCAACCGCACCAAAGTTAGTCTATTCTTTTTTTTTTTTTTTTATAATTTATTTAATTGTTTCTTGTTTTGTTTTTAGAATCATACTTCCGTCAACTCGAACATTACCTATGCAAAATTCCTTATCAGTAATGAATACAGTTCGACCACGACCACAATTAAATAATACTTCTCGTCAATTACCAACATTACCTTTACGACAATTACCAAATATAAATAAATCGAATACATCGAAAGCATATTTCGATTTACAAAATGAAGACGAAGAAATTGTAACAGAAAAAATTAAACGTACTGGTGAATTATTTTATTATCAAACATCATCATCATCATCATCATCAAATTCAAATGATTCATTAACATCAGACAATTCTAATAATAGAAATAATGAAGAACAGATTCAAACTGATCAACAAGAAGATTATGATGAGGATGATGATGAGGATGATGATGATGATAATAATAATAATAAAAAAACTCAAAGATTACAAAGTGATGATGATGATCAAACTTCTCCGTTTGAATATGATGCATAAATGTGGTTTACCTTCTTTTTTTTTTTTTTTGTAAATTATTAGGACTTTTTTTTTTTTGATTGACATAAATAGTATGAAGTATAATATGATTACTATTTCCTATCGAGATATATAAAATTTAATAAATCACAAATGAACATAAGACAAGGGTGTTTCTACCATAGAAAGTCTTAGTCAAGAGTGATTGAAACGAGAGAGAGAGAGAGGCTGTCGAGAGTTATTTTTTTAAATTTTATTTAAATTATCAGATTTATCTTTTGATAGTATATATATCTTATAACTATATTAAAAAAAAGAGCTATAACTTGCAAAGATAGCACTCATTCTCAGCAAGATACCTAACCCTCGATATATGTCCTACTTTTTCGTGATAAAATATATAATGTGATTTGCAGAGAAATTCAAATTGATTCTAAAAAATGAATTTATGAAAACTACTGAGGAATGAAACGCTTGAACATCTTTTACTATCAAAGAATTCCACAGAATTGTTAGAAATTTGTGAAAACTGAAGCGATTATCAGATAAAACTACTAATGTAAGATCCGTTTTAATCTTCTTATTGCAATACCTCACCCAAAAGAAATACGACTTTCTGCTTGAAGAACATCTTGCAACGAGCTCCAAAAGTTTTATACATAATAACTAAGAGCTGAACATTATCACATCTAATTTCCTTTTTACGCCACCATCATTCTATGGTTGTTTTTCACATAGAAATCTACATTTAATGTTCATTTAAACAGTACGCTCATAATCAAGGGATCGAATAGAACAATCAGATTCCGTATATTTATTGGATAGGATTCGGAGCATCAAATCATTGTGAATTGATTCAGATATTTTCGATATCGCAATATTAAAAATCATCTCTCTCAACATGTACGGAGTTTGACATTAGTTCTCGTTCGTGCATAATTAATAAAAAGACAAATACACATTATTTGTGCCGATTTGGTTATCAGAGATCTGAAAACTCGTCTCGCGCCTAAGTGCGGTGCATGCCTAAGTTTCTTCTTACTCTACAAAATAAGTTTCTCAACATTCTACGAACATCAGGATGGTGTAGGCACGCGCTCCGCAAATCTCTGACAAATGTAGCTTAAGCGCAAGCAGAGATGCAAGGCAGCGCGGGGAGGCGCGAGACGAGTTTTCGGATCTCTGTTGTGTATGACAAAACTGTGACTTGTTTGCTGTTCACTACGTCAAAGAATGATTATGCTCTTTGTCCAAGATCAGCACAATTTGAACTCATTTCATGACTGAATTCGAAACCAACATTGAGTTCACAGAAATCATAGGAGCGAAAATGAATATTATCGTAGAATTAAAAGGATATACATGTTCACATATCTTGGTTCAAAGACAATTCGTCGCATGAGACGTTAAATTCGAAGTATCTTGAAGGAGCATTGAGAATGAGAGGGTAAGAATACACAAAAGATTCTCAGTCGTACCAACACTTACACATTTATCTCCACATTCATACACATTTGACGAACTGAAGCAAACTAACAAGAGGATACACATGAGAAAGAACTTTGAATTATCTAATTCCGTTTACATATATGGTCTGATCGCAATGATGATAGCATGAATTCCTTCGCTATATATTTTACCAGGTTCGCAAAAGTTATATTTTCGTTTTTTTTCGTTCTTTGCAAAAATAATTTCCATTCATTTATTCATATTAATTATTTATCATGCTCACACCATTCTATCGCACGTATTTTTTTCTAATTTCTTTCCCACAATATCTAGAATTTTCAATATAGAAGTGACTATGAAACAAGTAATAGAATTGAGTAAATGTGAGAAAATAAGAAACATTGATAAACAAATAGAAAAAAAAAGACTTTTGTAGGGAAAAAATGCATTTTTACATCTAGAAAACATATTGTATGAAACACGTTCTTGAATGAGTTGTTTGTATGTTTAATGAAGAAAAAAAGATGCGTTCCAACTCATTTGAACTAATTCGTTTAAAGTCTAATGAAAATAAGCGAGTTAATAAAACAAAGTGTTCTAATACAGATTTTTTTTGAGTTTGTTTTTCAAAGGTTACTAGAGATGGCACTTTATTTTTACTTTATCTGATAAAGTGTCACTTCTACATTGGATTTGCACATGTCAGTGAACTGAGCACTAATGCAGGCGCTCCATTTACACTGACAAGCAACGCCATCCAGGTTAGCTCGTGCCTGTGGACGAAAAGATCTTCATCCACCCATATCTTGAAAAATAGTTAGGATACTTAGGCAATCTCTATCATCAAGGCTTCATGTTCCCAAAAAAGCAATCACAAGATGAGAATAAGCAAATTATGAATTACAAATATAGCATACTTAGTGCCACTTATTAGTCATTGAGGTGTTTTCTACTTGTACTTCCCTCCGGTCTTTAGGAATCTGGAAAACTGTCTTCACTAATTATTGGTCGAACAGAAGCCATAATATAGAGCTTACGATACTAATCACGAATAGCTCCTTGCAGGCTAAATTAGCAATGAAGGCTCTGTCTAATTTCTCAGAAAATTATATACTACCCGTTAATATTAAAAAAACAAAGGCGATGTTAATACACAGTGCAGTAGCTCCTAGTATTCCAAAA